TTGTGAGTGTGTTGTTGTGTTGTTTTTTATTTTGATTTGATTTGTTTGTACCTTGTGGGTTGAGGTATGTGCTTGGGAATTTTGGTTAATTTTCGTTGGGTTTTTTTTTAGTTTTGCTGTCCCGTTGGATGCCCCTTACAGATTTTTATATATAGATTACTAAATATCTGTGGAAGGGTAAATTAAATATTGGATTCCAGTTTTATGAGCATACGTTGTATCTATGTGAGAAAACATTGTTGTCCAATAAGAGACAAAAGTAATTAGAAGGGGAAAAAAAGTATTATCGGTAGTTGAAGCCGCAAATGAAGGATGTCCTTGAAGAAAAGCCAATGAAAATTGGGTCAGTGTGATTAATTTTATATGAACCCTTATAGCACCTTTTACATATTTCTACTCATTTTGTTGAGATGTACCATTCTCTGACTTATCTTTAAAATCGGCAAAATAAAAGGTAGACATATCTTAATGTAAAATATGATTAGGGCTTAAATTTGATATTTACCATGCTTCATGATTGGTTGCCATTCCTCATTATGCTTAAATTCAATTTTTGAAAAAGAAGATGCAGAGTTTTCTTATTTTTATTTATATTTAATGTTTTAATCAGTGTTTTAATTGTGTTCTATTGCTATGTTGTTGGCATTGAATTGTTGCCAGTGTAAGCTACCCTGAGACCTCCTTGGGGGTTGAGAAGGATGGGGTACAAATGTCTGAAATACATAAATAAATTTCAAATGTAAATAGGTTGATTTGAACCTTCTACTTCATTATTTCTGGTACATTTATTTCAGCCTTATACTTTTTCTTTCCAGTGCAATGTACAGAGCAATTCTGTCTTGTGACTAATCTTTTGGTTGGAAGCCAACATTGTGCGACTCATAAGTAATAGTTGCCATTAATCTGCTTTGACAACTAACTAGAGCAGTCAATCATGTTTTCCATCTGCCCAGCTGGAAGAGTCCGTGTCAACTCATAGTTCACCTTCAAATATGAGTCTAGATATTATTACAAATTACCATCATAATCTCATCCCATCATTCTACCTTCTTGCCATTTTCAGTTTCAAAAACCAATTCACCAACTAGCAGGGCAGGTAACTATAATTTTTAAAGCATCTAGAAGAAATAAGGTGTTACAAAATGAAATCTAGTTTTGATTATAAATACATTTTTCAATTCATATAGAAACAGAATCACATAATTATAGAACAGAACAATAGTATTATAGATTTGGCAGTGCTATCAAACAGGAGACAACAAAAAGAGGTCTGACATAGTCCTCAGGACTATCAGGGCACGTGAGCACCCATTGTCTCTCATCCCTGAATCCCGTGCTCTTACCTACAAGAAGCACTGCCTGAACATCAAGCAAAAAGTGGGTGCTAGAAACAATATCATATGAAGGCTGACTGGTACAACCTGGGGTTCACAACCAGATACAGTGAAGACATCTGCCCTTGTGCTGTGCTACTCTGCTACTGAGTATGCATGTCCAGTGTGGAACACATCTCACCATGCTAAAACAGAGGATGTGCCTCTTAATGAGACATGCCGCATTATCATGGGGTGTCTGCGCCCTACACCTCTGAAGAAATTACACTGCTTAGCCGGTATTGCACCACCTGACATCCGCCGGGAAGTAGCAGCCAATAGTGAAAGGACCAAGGCAGAGACATCTCCAGCTCATCCCCTGTTTGGGTATCAGCCAGCACGTCAACGACTTAAATCTAGAAATAGTTTTCTAAGATCTACAGAGACACTCGCTGGAACACCTCAGCAAGTGAGAGTCCAAAAGTGGCAGCTCAAACTCAGAACCTCAACCAATGGCTGATACCAAATGAGAAACTCCCCCCTGGGCACACAGAGGACTGGGAGACTTGGAAGGCGCTGAACAGACTGCGCTCCGGCACCACGAGATGCAGAGCCAACCTTCAGAAATGGGGCTACAAAGTGGGATCTTCGACATGTGAATGTGGAGAGGAGCAAACCACTGACCACCTGCTGCAATGCAACCTGAGCCCAGCCACATGCACAATGAAGGACCTTCTTGCAGCAACACCAGAAGCACTCCAAGTGGCCAGATACTGGTCAAAGGACATTTAATCAACTACCAAATTCACAAATTTTGTATTCTATATTTTGTATTTTTGTATTTTGTCTGTTTGTTTGCTTTGTTCTGTTAGAAATGTAATATAATTGACTGCTGATGACTCGATAAATAAAAAATAAATAAATCCCTGAATCAGGGTATCTGGAAACCCCATCTTTCCAAAACTAGGATAAATCTCTCCAGGGATAATCCTGTCAAACACCCATTGTCTTCCGACCTTGCCCATATTCAATTATATTCAATTCCCAGACTTGCCAGCTTCCCTCTAGGGATATCCACACCAGGCTACAGACAGTTCAATTCAACCAATGAAAGTTTATTACATTTTCAGCCAGGCCTCTCTGCTCCACCAGCAGCAGAGATTCATGAATCTTTTTTATTGTGAGTTTTTTTTCCTTTAACAATGAAAGAGGGGGAACAATCATCATGATAGCAAAGTGGGAAATTAAGAGAGTAATAGTGTATTGAAGAGTAGGAGAGAAGATAGGGTAGGGATGGGAAGGTGGAGGTAGGGGGGGTCGAGACACCGGGGGGTGGGGTGGGGGAAGAGGTAGGAATATATATATTTGACCTCCAGTTCAGTCCACAGAGGTATGATCAACAAATTGTGCACTTCTTCTTACAGCGTAGTATGTAAGATCTTGGAGTCCTCATGGACAACAAGTTAAACATGAGCCAACAATGTGATGTGGTGACAAAAAAAGCCAATGGGATTTTGGCCTGCA